ATGCCTTTTGTGTATCCATATGCTCTTGCGCTACCGTCCACAGGATGGATATGGGGTGCACAATAAACTAGCCACGTCGATGGCAAAATCTCAAATCTTTTAGCGGTTGTGGGATTACACCGGTGTCTATACTCCCTCTTCATAGCATACTAAGGAAAATTCTCTCCGGCCCTTGGAACTAATGCAAAATGAAGCCCTCAGAATTATTTTTGGCTGTCCTAAATCTACCAAAGTTCTTAATATAAGGAAGGAACTTGGTGTTACTAGTATCAGTGGGAGAATTTTTAAGATTAACACTGTATTAGAATGTTAAGAAATGAACCAGACACTGTTACTAACATTCTTACTAAATGTCTAGAAGTAAATACACAATAATCTATATGGGTTGTGAAAACATGCAATTATATCAAGTTTAACAACTTACACGAACTGAGTACCACACGAGGGTGTACCACAGTACCACACTACCGTACAACTCCTCAGTACCACACGAGGGTGAACCACAGTACCACACTACCGTACAACTCCTCAGTACCACACGAGGGTGAACCACAGTACCACACTACCGTACAACTCCTCAGTACCACACGAGGGTGAACCACAATACCACACTACCGTACAACTCCTCAGTACCACAGGAAGGTGTACCACAGTACCAAACTACCGTACAACTCCTCAGTACCACACCAGGGTGAACCACAATACCACACTACCGTACAACTGCTCAGTACCACACGAGGGTGAACCACAGTACCACACTACCGTACAACTGCTCAGTACCACACGAGGGTGAACCACAGTACCACACTACCGTACAACTCCTCTGTACCACACGAGGGTGAACCACAGTACCTCACTATGGTACACCTCAGTCCCACACAAGGGTATACCAAAAAGGGTGTACCAGACGAAGGTATACACCTTGGTTTCAACATTCCTGAAACACAAATAGACTGGGAGGAAGAGTTACAGGAAATATTGTTGATGATGCTATATCAAGCTTGGCAGGAAACTCTTGGTGATATTGAGACGGGAATGGTGGGGGAGGAGGATGAGGATGGTGAAGGAGGAGGAGGAGGATGGTGAGGGAGGAAGATGAGGATGGTGAGTGAGGAGGAAGAGGATGGTGAACGAAGAGGAAGAGGATGGTGAAAGAGGAAGAGGATGGTGAAAGAGGAAGATGACGGTGAAGGAGGAAGAGGATGGTGAGGAAGAGGATGATGAAGGAGGAAGAGGATGGTGAAGGAGGAGAGTATGGTGAGAGAGGAGGAAAAGGATGGTGAAGGAAAAAGAGGATGGTGAAGGAGGAAGAGGATGGTGAGGGAGGAGGATGAGGATGGTGAATGAGGAGAATGAGGATGGTGAGTGAGGAGGATGAGGATGGTGAGGAAGGAGGATGAGGATGGTGAGTAAGGAAGATGAGGGTGGTGAGTGAGCAGGATGAGGATGGTGAGTAAGGAGGATGAGAATGGTGAGTGAGAAGGATGAGGATGGTGAGTGAGGAAGATGAGGATGGTGCGTACTTCATCATGTCTGCTCTAGAACACTCCATCATGTCTGTTCTAGAGTACTCAGTCATGTCTGCTCCAGAACACTCCATCATGTCTGCTCTCAAACACTCCATCATGTCTGCTCTAGAACACTCCATCATGTCTGCTCTAGAACACTCCATTATGTCTGCTCTAGAACACTCCATCATGTCTGCTCTAGAACACTCCATTATGTCTGCTCTAGAACACTCCGTCATGTCTACTCTACAACACTCCATCATGTCTGCTCTAGAACACATCATCTCTGCTCTAGAGTTCTTCATCATGCCTGCTCTAGAACACTCCATAATGTCTGCTCTAGAGCACTCTATCGTGTCTTCTCTAGAACACTCCATCATGTCTGTTCTAGAGTACTCAGTCATGTCTTCTCTAGAATACTTCATCATGTCTGCTCTACAACACTCCATCATGTCTGCTCTACAACACTCCATCGTCTCTGCTCTATAACATTCCATCATGTCTGCTCTAGAACACTCCATCATATCTGCTCTAGAACACTCCATCATGTCTGTTCTAGAATACTCAGTCATGTCTGCTCTAGAACACTCCATCATATCTGCTCTAGAACACTCCATCATGTCTGCTCTAGAACACTCCATCATGTCTGCTCTAGAACACTCCATCATGTCTACTCTACAACACTCCATCATGTCTGTTCTAGAATACTCAGTCATATCTGCTCTAGAACACTCCATCATATCTGCTCTAGAACACCCCATCATGTCTGCTCTAGAACACTCCATCATGTCTGCTCTAGAACACTCCATCATGTCTGCTCTAGAACACTCCATCATGTCTGCTCTAGAACACTCCGTCATGTCTACTCTACAACACTCCATCATGTCTGTTCTAGAATACTCAGTCATGTCTGCTCTAGAACACTTCGTCATGTCTACTCTACAACACTCCATCATGTCTGTTCTAGAATACTCAGTCATGTCTGCTCTAGAACACTCCATCATATCTGCTCTAGAACACTCCATCATGTCTGCTCTAGAACACTCCATCATGTCTGCTCTAAAACACTCCATCATGTCTGCTCTAGAACACTCCATCATGTCTGTTCTAGAATACTCAGTCATGTCTGCTCTAGAACACTCCATTATGTCTGCTCTAGAACACTCCATCATGTCTGTTCTAGAATACTCAGTCATGTCTGCTCTAGAACACTCCATCATGTCCGCTCTAGAACACTCCATCATGTCTGTTCTAGAATACTCAGTCATGTCTGCTCTAGAACACTCCATCATATCTGCTCTAGAACACTCCATCATGTCTGCTCTAGAACACTCCATCATGTCTGCTCTAGAACACTCCGTCATGTCTACTCTACAACACTCCACCATGTCTGCTCTAGAACACTCCATCATGTCTGCTCTAGAACACTCCGTCATGTCTACTCTACAACACTCCATCATGTCTGCTCTAGAACACTCCATCATGTCTGCTCTAGAAAAACTCCGTCATGTCTACTCTACAACACTCCATCATGTCTGCTCTAGAACACTCCATCATGTCTGCTCTAGAACACTCCGTCATGTCTACTCTACAACACTCCATCATGTCCCGCTCTAGAACACTCCATCATGTCTGCTCTAGAACACTCCGTCATGTCTACTCTACAACACTCCATCATGTCTGCTCTAGAACACTCCATCATGTCTGCTCTAGAACACTCCATCATGTCTGCTCTAGAACACTCCGTCATGTCTGCTCTAGAACACTCCATCATGTCTGCTCTAGAACACTCCGTCATGTCTACTGTACAACACTCCATCATGTCTGCTCTAGAACACTCCATCATGTCTGCTCTAGAACACTCCGTCATGTCTACTGTACAACACTCCATCATGTCTGCTCTAGAACAATGCTCACACTCTGTGATCAATACAATTCGTTGTGTGTCAAGTCTGGATATAGTAATTAGTAATATAACTTCACAATCTTTATTGACATAACTTAAGGATATGGTGACCAGTGGTAGACTAACTTAGTCTAACAGTCTCTGGTATACTTATAATCTATTAAGAGCTTAAAGAATATTTTGGATTTATATCTACTCCCATTATGGTGATAGTTTTATAATTCGGATATCACCTCTCAAAGACCTGGGAGTGATCATGTCGGAGGATCTCACCTTCAATGACCACAACATTGTATCAATCGCATCTGCTAGAAAAATGACAGGATGGATAATGAGAACCTTCAAAACTAGTGATGCCAAGCCCATGATGACACTCTTCAGGTCGCTTGTTCTATCTAGGTTGGAATATTGCTACACACTAACATCAAATATCAAGGCAGGTGAAACTGCTGACCTAGAAAATGTACATAGAACCTTCACAGCACACACAAGTGCGATAAAACACCTCAGTTACTGGGAACGCTTGAAGTTCCTTAACCTGTACTCCCTAGAACACAGGCGGGAGAGATACGTGATTATATACACTTGGAAAATCCTAGAGGGATTAGTACCAAACTTGCACATGAAAATCACTCCATATGAGAGTAAAAGACTCTGCAGAGGATGCAACATCCACCCAATGAAAAACAGGGGCGCCATTAGCACGATAAGAGACAACAAAGTAAGTGTCATGGACCCAAGACTGTTCAACTGCCCTCCAGCATACATTAGGGAGATTATCAATAGACCCCTGGCTGTTTCAAGAAGGCGCTGGCCAGGCACCTAAAGTCAGAACCTGACCAGCCGGGATGTGGTTCGTACGTCGGGTTGCGTGCGGCCAACAGTAACAGCCTGGTTGCTCAGAATCTGATCCACCATGAGGCCTGGTCATAGACCGGGCCATTGGGGCGTTGACCCCCGAAACCCTCTCCAGGTATTCCAGGTACTCTCGGCTTACCTTAACTTGGTATGGCAGTGTGTACTTGGTGTGGGAGTGTGTACTTGGTGTGACTGTGTACTTGTACTTGATATGACAGTGTGTACGTGGTGTGACCGTGTACTTGGTGTGACTGTGTACCTGGAGTTTACCTGGAGAGAGTTCCGGGGGTCAACGCCCCCGCGGCCCGGTCTGTGACCAGGCCTCCTGGTGGAGCAGAGCCTGATCAACCAGGCTGTTACTGCTGGCTGCACGCAAACCAACGTACGAGCCACAGCCCGGCTGGTCAGGAACCGACTTTAGGTGTTTGTCCAGTGCCAGCTTGAAGACTGCCAGGGGTCTGTTGGTAATAACCCTTATGTGTGCTGGGAGGCAGTTGAACAGTCTCGGGCTCCTGACACTTATTGTATGGTCTTTTAACGTGCTAGTGACACCCCTGCTTTTCATTGGGGGGATGTTGCATCGTCTGCCAAGTCTTTTGCTTTCGTAGTGAGTGATTTTCGTGTGCAAGTTCGGTATTAGTCCCTCTAGTATTTTCCAGGTGTATATAATCATGTATCTCTCCCGCCTGTGTTCCAGGGAATACAGGTTTAGGAACCTCAAGCGCTCCCAGTAATTTAGGTGTTTTATCTCCGTTATGCGCGCCGTGAAGGTTCTCTGTACATTTTCTAGGTCAGCAGTTTCACCTGCCTTGAAAGGTGCTGTTAGTGTGCAGTAATATTCCAGCCTAGATAAAACAAGTGACCTGAAGAGTGTCATCATGGGCTTGGCATCCCTAGTTTTGAAGGTTCTCATTATCCATCCTGTCATTTTTCTAGCAGATGCGATTGATACAATGTTATGGTCCTTGAAGGTGAGATCCTCCGACATGATCACTCCCAGGTCTTTGACGTTGGTGTTTCGCTCTATTTTGTGGCCAGAATTTGTTTTGTACTCTGATGAAGATTTAATTTCTTCGTGTTTACCATATCTGAGTAATTGAAATTTCTCATCGTTGAACTTCATATTGTTTTCTGCAGCCCACTGAAAGATTTGGTTGATGTCCGCCTGGAGCCTTGCAGTGTCTGCAATGGAAGACACTGTCATGCAGATTCGGGTGTCATCTGCAAAGGAAGACACGGTGCTGTGGCTGACATCCTTGTCTATGTCGGATATGAGGATGAGGAACAAGATGGGAGCGAGTACTGTGCCTTGTGGAACAGAGCTTTTCACCGTAGCTGCCTCGGACTTCACTCTGTTGACTACTACTCTCTGTGTTCTGTTAGTGAGGAAATTATAGATCCATCGACCGACTTTTCCTGTACTTGGTGTGACTTTGTACTTGGTGTGACTGTGTACTTGGTATGACTTTGTACTTGGTGTGACAGTGTGTACTTGTGTTCAGTGTTTACGTGCGTTGTTTTTAGTTTTTCTTCTTTTCTTATTTTTTGTTGTGTATTTGTTGTGTATGTTTTGTTATGGTTATGAGCGGTGAGTGATCTAGGGGGTCGAAGTCCTCAGTAAATGTCACAACTACTTCAACATGTTTGGCTTCCACAATGTAAATCTTTATTTTTGTGTTTGTACCGAAGATTATGAAACTGTTTCTTGATGCCTAGTGAGCTTTGGGTGATGTGACAGAGGCTTTCCCCTGGCTTACTAGTCTCTCTTGTTAAAACAAATTCAATATCACATCATATGTGACTCAAGTCACAGACCGGGTGAGGTGTTGAAACCATGGCTAGTGAGTCCTGCCATGGGTTCAAGACCTCACCCAGTCTGTAATTTCTTTAGTTACTTGCAATCGTTTTAATACGATTTATTGACTCAAGTTATGAGATCAAATTTTCCATACATAACACGAAAGAATCCCAGAGACAGTAGAGTCCTAGGATTAATTTGTAAACTTCAAAACAATCATATTTTGACGTTTCCGAGCCATGTGAGACGTTTTCTGACGTACTTGAAACTAGCTAGAAGCGTAAAATGAGTACCTGGGTGTTACTGACTGGTGTGGGTCGCATTCTGGGATAAAACTGACCTAGTTTGCCTGAAATGTTATGCATAACAAGTGGCTTTCTACATGGTAGTATGTCATTGATGTCAGCTAGGACTGTATACCTTGTACATGTACTTGTAAAAATATAGATATTATATATTATATTATTATAATAGTTTTTAAAATAATAAACTGACCCCTGTTTAAGCAAGACAATATTCATTGCTGAGGTTAAGAACGCCATTACATAAATAATTCATTAACATATCAATATATGTTTCAATTATGATGTAGCCAACATGTTCTCCATCACTACATCTCCAGCTCATATCTGGAGTATTCCAGAAATATTTCTGACACTGTTGAACGTAGGCTGCTGACAGTGGTACGGTGCTGTCCCAGGTGACAATGTTGCTTCCCAGTAAACAAAATCTGCTGAAAGTGTTGTACAGATCCACATTTTTATTTTTGTAGCTCCCCCATGTATTCAGCTGGAAAAAAATATGAATTGAGTGAAATAACACTGAACAATTGGTTCAATTAAGGGGGAAGTGGTATTACTATTATTATATGATAGTAACTCAACAGATAATGAGACTACCTGATAAGACGGACAGGAACATTGTTTGCAACATAAAGGCACAATACCGTAAGTGGAACAATACACAAATAACCCGCACATAGGAAAAAGAAACCTATGACAACATTTCGGTCCGAGTTGGGCCGAAACGTCGTCATAAGTTTCTTTCTCCTATGTGCTGGTTATTTGTGTCCTGATTGAAAGATTTAATTCAACTCAGGGTGGTTAGCAACTAAGAACATCGTGAGAGCAAACACCATACACAGTTTTAAGAATACGTACAACAGGACCTACCAAGTATGAAACTTGTAAGATTAGACGCATAGATTAAGAGGATAAGCTTGGAGCAGAGGTAAACAACACTGGTAAATACTGTATAATCTTTCAACTCAAGAAGAACATCGCGTATCAAGAGGCAGATAATTATCTATTCCACAATATGATTACAACATTTGAACTAATAAATCTCAGACATGAGATGTTTAAGTGTAGAGGAAAAGTTTTCAACTTACTGGTATATAGTCTTGCATCTTGAAGATAACAGTAATGTGCTGTGAGAAGGAGTTAAGCTGCCTCAGGTGATGCATTAAATCCTGCTGATTGTTCATATCCATGGCGTCCCGGTCAGTGAATAGAACGATTGATCTCATCAGCCAGTGTAAGACTGAATCTGCCAGGAATTTTTATTTCAGTTTTTTCAGCTAATGCTGACTGGTGAACATTTTTCGTTTCCTTATACACATGGTAAATTTCCTTAAGTTAAAGTGTTGCATGCATCGGTTCAATACATTTCAAGATCACGTGAAGAGGCTATATGTTATGAAGAAATGTGAGGATCATCTGTGAGTTATCAAGATACCATCTTATTATCAGTCACAGATTGCAATATTGTTCAGTTGAAGGCCTCGTGGAACTGTGAATCAGATTTCTAACTATGTGATCACTGGTTTTCATTTTTTATTGTGTTTTTAGCTACTAACCTTTTACTTAAAAACTCCCTTTAATACACTTTTAGCAAATTATATTTTTAAATAACTTAATATGTGATAATAATCTATAACAACATTGACAAAATAGAAATGGTTATAACTATGACCATAAATTATAAAGGGGTGGACCGGTAAGCCAGCGGAAGGCCTCGGTCAGATGACCAATAGCTCCAGCTGCGGGTCATCATTTGACTAAGACCCGCGTCAGGAAACACTTGTCCTCTTTCCTGACGAACCTTACCTAGCCTAACTTAACACTGACAATAAGATCAGAGAAGGTGGAGTAAGAAACTGAATGGTGGGGGACTAAACTTGACTGCTAAGTGTCGGACACCGGTGTCAGTCACATGACAAGCCCTAGGCAAAATGATGGAATCTATACACACTTGTTAACGTCACATCAGTAGCAACCACTGGCATACTAATACTAGAGTGAGTGGTCTGAGAGGTCCACTGATTCAAGTACATATATTATGCTGTGTGTGGTTTTACATTTTGATATTTATTATACAGGACTCGAGGAGTCACCCGTGACAACACACTGTGTAATGCTTGCAGGTCACACGTAAGCTCATAATGTCTTGTGGAACCTAGCTATCCTGATTTACTGGTAATGTCATCTATATATCAACTATTAGTGTAAACAGCTCGTCTCTACATATGCACTGCGGGTGCTGGAGTATCAGCATGTAGATGAATTCTGCTTGTGAAGGACAGTGTAGTTACAGTAGTATAGTTCACAGTTTACTGACAGTGGTATTGTCCATAGTGTACTTGCAGTGTTATAGTGATTTTTGAGAGTATTATTTCTCAGACATATCATAGCTAATTGCCACTGTAACATCACATTTATGCATGTTAAATCAACACTTGTGAACACTGAGTTCGCGCTTTTCCAAGTCTACAATAACATGTGAATTAAGTTAGTTAGAAGTATTATATTCAGATGTAGCATAGTTTACTGTGTCGTCACTGCATGCTGTATAAGAGAATTCTTATAGTGTCCTCGTCATTATCAAATTTCGCAAAGACAAAAACATGTAGTGACGTGAAGTGAAAAACAATCAAGTAGTGATCCAATGAACTTCATTTAGTAAAATATAAACAGTCACGCTACACTGCAATGAGACAAGTGAATTCACACAATTATTATACATATCTTTCTGGGTCATACATTCCCGGGAATAATGAACGTCGGTGTGTGATCAGTGAGGTAATCAATCACGAGTGTTTGGGGGGAGCACACATAATGTACCGAGGTCTTGGAATGAATGTCGCCAGATATAATATATATATATATATATATATATAATATATATATATATATTATATATATATATATATATATATATATATATATATATATATATATATATATATATATATATATATATATATATATATATATATATATATATATATATATTTTTTTTTTTTTTTTTTCAACAAGTCGGCCGTCTCCCACCGAGGCAGGGTGACCCAAAAAAGAAAGAAAATCCCCAAAAAGAAAATACTTTCATCATCATTCAACACTTTCACCACACTCGCACATTATCACTGTTTTTGCAGAGGTGCTCAGAATACAACAGTCTAGAAGCATAAACATATAAAGATACACAACATATCCCTCCAAACTGCCAATATCCAAACCCCTCCTTTAAAGTGCAGGCATTGTACTTCCCATTTCCAGGACTCAAGTCCGACTATATGAAAATAACCGGTTTCCCTGAATCCCTTCACTAAATATTACCCTGCTCACACTCCAACAGATCGTCAGGTCCCAAGTACCATTCGTCTCCATTCACTCCTATCTAACACGCTCACGCACGCTTGCTGGAAGTCCAAGCCCCTTACCCACAAAACCTCCTTTACCCCCTCTCTCCAACCCTTTCGAGGACGACCCCTACCCCGCCTTCCTTCCCTATAGATTTATATGCTTTCCATGTCATTCTACTGTGATCCATTCTCTCTAAATGACCAAACCACCTCAACAACCCTCTTCTGCCCTCTGACTAATACTTTTTTAAAACTCCACCTTCCCCCTAATTTCCCACCCCGAATTTTCGCATAATTTTTAACCACACATTCCCCTTAAACGGGACATCCCCGCGCCTCCACCGTCTCCTCGTGCTGCTTTTACCCCCCAAGTTACACCCAAAAAGGATTTGGGGTACACTATATTTTCATACTTTCCCTTTTTTCCCCTCCATAGAAAACGTTTTTTGACTCCACTATCCCTAAAGCCCACTCCCCTTTTTTCCCCCACTTTTTAAATTTTAAACCTCATCCTTCATAACCATCCGCCGACACGAACCCAATATCTGAAAACATTCATTTTCTTCATACCCCTCCTCCCCAATTGATACCCAAAATTTTTTTTTTATCTAAATCATTTGACACCCCATCACCTTACTTTTTTCTTCACTTTCAAACTTTTTACCTTTACCACATTCCCAAACTCATCCACAACCTTTGCTTTTTTTCTTTGAACCCCCAAAAAACAGTATCATCGCAAAAAGTAACTGTGTAAATTCCTTTTAAATTTGATTCCCAAATTTAATCCCACCCCTCCCCAAACCCCTAGTTTTTCTTCCTTAAAACCCCCATCTATAAATATATTAAAAAAACCATGGTGACATTACACATCCTGTCTAAGACCTATTTTTTCCCGGGAAATAGTCCCCCTCTCTTCTACCACCCTAACCGGCCTCACTATCCTCATAAAAACTCTTTACAGCTTTTAAATAATTCCCACCTTTTCCCATAACTTGAACATCGCCACATTGCCCCTCTACCCCACTTATCATATCCTTTTTAAAATCCTAAATGCAATAAAAACTTCCTATCTTTATCTAAATACTTTCACTATTGTTCAATTAAACACCTGACTACACATCCCCTCCCCACTCAAAAACCCCCTTTGCTCTCCGCATCCACATTCTGTCTTACCCCTAATTCTTTTAATTTTAACCCTACCGTACCTTTTTCTGGTAATCAGTAAATTATTCCTCTATAATTTTTACAGTCTCTTTTGCCCCCTTCCCTTTATAAAAGGACTATACATTCTCTTGCCAATCCCTAGGTACCTTCCCCCCTTTCATCATTTTTTAACAAAAGTACCAACCCCTCCAACATATATCCCCCCCTGCTTTTAACTTTTCTGCTGATCCCTCAGTTCCCCGTGCTTTACCCCCTTTCATTTTTGTAATGCCTCAGTTAAATTTTAATTTGTTTCTTCATTAAAGAGGTAAAACCCCCTAAATGATGTTATGTCTGCTTCCCTTAAAATTTTAAAGTTTCAAAAAAGCCCTTCAATCCCCCTTTTTCTAATTTTTTGTTTTAAGAAAATCCCAAATTTTCCCATTTTTTACTTGTTTAACTCACTCCCCAAATTTTTCTTATTTTATTAAAATTTCACGGCTCCCCACTCATCATCTTCTCCTTTTGCACTTCTCACCTCTTTTCCTTTTTTTCCTCATAACTCGGCTCTTCTTATACACTTTCTTTTAAAAACCTTTTTCTACCTTTTTCTTTTTATACCCTTTACTTCATCATTTTCCCCCAAACACTCCTCTTTCCTCCTCCCCCACCCTCCCTTTTTTCACCCAATTCTGCCCCCTTTTTAAAATTTGCATTTTTAAAAACATTTCCCCTTTCAACCCCCCACTACTCTCTTTGCACTACCCACCTTTTTGCCAAATCGCTTTTTATCTCACCCCCCAACTTCCTCCCTCCCCTAGTTTATACACTTTTTTCCCTTTACTTGTTGTTGCCCCTTCCTCTTTTCCCCTCTACCTCTTACTCAACTGTGCTCAAAAAATAAAAGATCCCATTATCAGTTGCCCCTCTTTAAACAGTACATCCTGGAGCCCACCCATCAACCTTTTTTTCCACCAATACTAAACTAAAAACTTTTTCATTCGTGCTAAACTACCTTGTATATTTTTATCCCCCTTTTTTATAAAAAATGTTTACTTATTACCAAATTTCTTTTACACATAGCCAATTAAAGTCCCCCTTTACCTTTACCCCCGGCACCCCAAATTTACCTACTACCCCTCCTAAAATTTTTACCCCCCTTTTGTTAAAAACCCCCAACCCCCATTTTCTCTCACCTTGATTCAAACTCCCACGCATTTTACTAACATTTTTTCCAAAAAACTCTCTTCCCCCTCTACCTTTTCCTCTTTCCAGGTGCAACACGTTATTATAACCCACTTTTCACATCCCCAAACTTTATTTTACTCCACTAATTTCCCTTTAAATTTAAAACATTTATAGTCCCCTTTTCCTGCCCTAGCTTATCCTTCAACATTTTTGTACTCCTTCTTTAGCTCTAACTCTATTTTAAACCCTGACCCAAAACCCCCTTTATTCCTCTCCCCGAAACTCTCCCACCCCCCTTTAGCTTTGTTTCACTTAAAGCCAGGACATCCAGCTTCTTCTCATTCATAACATCCCAATTTATCTCTTTTTTATTTGCAAACATCCACGCAATTCAGACTTCCCATTTGACAATTTTCTTCTTTTTATTTTTTTAGTAATTCTTTACAGAAAAAAGGGGGTTTCTAGCCCTGTTCCCGGCATTTAGTTGACTTTTACAACACGCATGGCACGGGGGAAAAGATTCTTTTCCCATTTCCCCCATGGAATAAAAGGAAATTAATAGACCAAGAACTATTAAATAAAAACAAAAAAAAAAATCAGTGGTGTGTAAAAAAAAAGTGTACATGTAGTGTGTGTGACCCAAGTGTAAGTAGAGTAGCAAGACTGCCTGTAATTTGCAATTTATGGACAGACAAAAGACATCAGCAAACCCCCATATTTTAAAAAAAATCACGGCTTTGTTTACACTCATTGGCGGACGGGAGTACCCCCCTGGGGGGTTGCTGTCTACCAAACTCCCTATAAAAAATATTAATAAATATAATATTATATATTTTTAAAAATTTATAAGTGAAAGTGTATCTCTTTCCTGCCTTCCGCCCCCACAAAAATTTTCTTTACATTAAAACTTAAAATGGTTGAAAAAGGGTCTGCTGGGGTACACTAGCTTGATAATAATACCAGAAGACCCGGGTTGATGAAGCACGTATTTTCGTGCTCCATCAAGTCTTTTCTATCTTGAGTACCAACGAAATAAACAGAAAGTCCGACCTACCACTAATAATGAGGACAGAGGGGACCTGGAGTCTGTGTGCCGGAGTGAGCCACTTGTGGAGCAGGTCTGACAGAAGTTGGTGGAAAGGATCCCAGTAGAAAGTGAGTCTCAAGGGAACGTCCAGGTGAACCACCTCGATGGTTTCATTATGGTACGCCTTCCATGGCTTCTCATAGATGTGCTCGATGTCTCTCCACTCATCCTGTTCTCGAAGATAGCAAGTTCCAGCTCCTTGTTCATTGCATTTTAATTATTTATTCCTTAATTTATGCTTAAGATATACATATTATTTAATAGATATATTCCTATTCTTGCATATAGATTGACAAGTATACAGATTGATAATTGAATGTTTGAATGTAACACAATAAGGTTTGACTGATCAGTTAGCATTTTTTTGATCAATTATCAGATATAAACATTACTGTGGAATAATCTAAATCTGTGTTATTATAACAGCTTTGCGCTCACCCTAGACCAGCACTTATTGCATATTCTAATATCTCAGCATGAAAAGATTTTTTCACATAATTCCGTAGAAAGCCAATCAATATGGCTTATTTCTATGACCTACTGTTGGGTTAGCAGGTGCAGCAGATGTAAGAAAGCTTGCCCATTCGTCTCAACTCGCCCGGCTTTCAAATCCAGGCCCGTTCAATTGTGATTTATATTTAGTTTTATGTGAAAAGCTAAACCCATGTGAGTCATTCAGCACATGGCATGGTAGAGGCGACACCTTTCTGTTATCAGACGAACTTTCAACGGCTAAGCAACCTGAACAGTGTTAGATAAATAGCCACAGATGCAACTAATGTAACAGTTCATTGTGGCAACGTCTCGCTCTCCAGGAGCTTGACAAATCTTCTGGTGAGCGAAATGTTGCCACAATGAAATATCGTATTGCATCTGTGTCCATTTACCTAACATTCTGTCGGTAATTCTACCAATATTACTAACCCGAGCTGTGATTTGTTCCCTTGTTCTCATAGTTTATCCCGCATCCTGTTCATGTTCTCTTAGACACTGTCTCCTATGGCGAAGATTATCACGTAACCAATCCCTGATGTCTGTGCTCAAGACCTCAACATTCATTACAAGTTTCTGAAAGATTCTCACACATCACACAAGATAAAACAACGAGTGTTGTCCAGTCCGGGCTTCGAGATGGTTATTATTATTATTATAATCAGGAGGAAGGTGCCAAACCCACCAGGGTAATATAATTCATAAAGAAAAGAAGGTAATGAGGTTCGATTCAAGGAAGGGAAGGACAGGTTCACCTCCTTGGATCAGGAGTCCCTCAAGAGCCTCAGGGCCCCTTCATTGAGTGACACAGCTGGGCCTAACAGATTAGATCATCGTCTAATATAGCAGCATGGTGTGCCGCAGCATAGTGTGCCGCAGCATAGTGTGCCGCATAGTGCCGCAGCATAGTGTGTCGTAGCATAGTGCGGAAGCATAGTGTGCCTCATACAAATGGTCATACAGTTTGAGGACTGGATGGCAACTCCTTGGATCAAGAGTCCTTCACTGGTATCAAGGCAACTTTTTTTTAAACGAGTTTTCCTTACAAGTGGTGTTAGAATCTTTCCCATGACAATATTATTATTATTATTACAATCAAGGGGGAAGCGCTAAACCCGGAGGATTATACAGCACCTGGGGGGGGATGTGGAAGGCATTCCGGCTTAATTTGGGGAACTGGAGCACAGATCCAATTCCCTAAATCAAGAGCCCCTCACCGACATCAAGGAACCTTCCTTGAGGGGTCCCATGACAAAAAAGCACCGATAAAAAGATCAGTTAAAAAAAAAAAAAAAAAAAAAAAAAAAAAAAAAAAAAAAAAAAAACATTGATCTTGCTGTTTTGACTAGCTTAACCAACGTCCTTCCATTTTTCGTC